CACATAGTGTGTACATATAAATTATTATAATATATAATATAAATGTATATACATATACATGTTTCCCGTTGTTGCCGACGCATTAGACACGTCTTTTTTTAATGTACCAAAAATCTGCCATGTGTCTCATGCGGCCGAATTGCGGATAGGAGACCAACGTAAGCTAGGGAACCGGACGAGCATACTGGGCAAGTCTGCAAGGCACGAAAATTGTTGCTGTTGCTAATCCAAATTGATACAAGCCGAATTATCACAGTATTTTATCACGAACTTACGAAATATTGTGTACGATTCGCCGGCAGTTATGAGAAACACTTCCTCTCACTTAGCTCTTTCCTCAGCATACATAACCCACACCTGATACATGTCTTACGTTATTTAACGACTGTTACCTTTGAAAAACATTCGTTCATTATCTTAGTGAAAAATGCTCATGGAAATCTGAAATGAATGTTAAACTCGTCCGCCTGTAAGGCATATGCCACGAGTGGATTTCAACAAAACCACAACGCTACAATGGAATAATGTCACCATATTGTATTGCATGCAAAGAAGGCTATTTTTTGCTGACAACAATACTTTTGAGTATAATTAAATAAATGTATGGTGAAATACTAAGATTTTTTTTTTTAATAAATGTCTTTGAAAAATTCGGTGTGTCGTATGCATTGGTGCATCTCAAACGCCGGCAAATATATATTTACACATATTCATATATGTATATATATATGCACATACATATACATATATATACATGCATATATGTATATGTTCACACACACAAATATATGTATACATATACATATACACACATAATTGTGTATATGCATATATATATTCACACACGTGTATAGATATATGTGTGTGTGGGTGTGTGTATATAAACATCTTCCATCTTCTCTCGCAGGTTAGGATCATTTCTTCTTCAGATGTCTTGGATTGCAGCCACAAATGCGCCAGGAAAATCATAGATGGAAGTTGCAGGATCGATTGGTTGTGCAAGTTCTTAGAAGAAAATTACAGTGGTAAGTGTTTTAAGTTCTCGTTTAACATTTCCGTCAGTTTTTTTTCAGTTGATTTAATATGAAGTTGCAAAAAACTTCCACGCAACGTGCTTTTTACCTGTCACATAATCAAACTTTTTTTTCTGTCATCCCATCACAGAATCGTCGCCAGAGAACCAAACCACGGTGTCTGCACTTGCTGTACGATGAAATAAATAAAGATTAAACAAACTGTCTCTGCTGGTTCTAATTTTCACTCGTTTATTTGCTGATTATCATGGCTATTTATAGGGCGAGGGGGGAAGGGGGGATCGAGAAAAAAGAGGACGAGGAGAGGGAGAAAGAGGAAAAAGGAACCTGTGTGAGGCGTACAAACAAACACACACACACACACACACACGCATACAGATTAAACGACAATTATTTTCTTTTAACTGTTGTCATTTATTTTACTTTTCAAAATTTATTATTACTTTTTGTTAGTGATTTACATCAATATGTAATTACATTAAGACGAAAAAAAAGATCAGATATCCCAAAAAGCATCGAGGACAGAAAATTATAAAATATTATTACACCGCACTTAACTTTTTTCACATATACCATCACTTAATAATAAATGCCCATAACATAGGCGTAAAACAGATCAGTATTAGCCAGCACTTTATGGCTAACACTCACAGAAAGGCTGCTGTGTTCCGTGATGTAGATACTGTCTCTATCCCTGTCCCAACAAGGAAGCTATACATAGTTGGCGTCTATGACTACTTGCGAAATAAAAACACGTGACAGATTGAATTCTTTGTTGATCAGATCAGCAGAGAACAGTACAGGAACTGATAGAATGTAAACAAGAATTAAAACGATAACGATAATGATAATAATAATAATATCAGTAACAATAACAATCATGATGATATAGTTATAAGTTATCTTCATTACTACCATAAGGATGATGACAATGATTATACAAAAATATAATACTGATAATAATAAAATAATAGTGACAATAATAATGATAATAGTATTAAAATCATATTTATACAAAAATAATCACTGTAATTATAATAATATAATCATCATAATCATAATCAAAATATCAATAACATAGAATAATGGTAATAATAATGATAATGGTAATAAAACAACAATAATAATATTGTACAAAAAGTATGAATGAGAACGACTATTTTCACGGGGCAAAAGATGTATTTGACAGGGAGGTAGTTTAGTAGGTAGGTAGGTACATGCACGACTAAACACTTACATAGGTACGTAGGTAAGTAGCAAGCTAGATTAATTGAGATATAAGTGGATAGACAGATAAATTGATATACAAATATATGAACAGATGAAAATATTTTCCTCAATGCCTAAATAGCCAGCCTGAATAGCAGAATATTAAAACGGAAAAGTTTGATCCTGACACGGCTCTCTCTGGTCGAAACCACAAACAAAGTAAAAGGGAAAACCCCAGGTTGCCAGTTCTAAGCCATTGCGTCTTTATGAAAGAGGCATATGTAGATAAATGTCAATTTATTTACAATTTTATTTCAGTTGCTGAAGTATTAGAGAATTATTTGTCACCCATTGATACGGAATGATGCAACAGGTTTTACGTATCGAATTGTGCGTAACCAACGACTATAATAACCGAGTATGATCGTTGTGTGGTGCAAGTGTCGTTTCTTTCCTATTAGTCCATATGCGCAGTTGTTTTCGGCTTCGTACAGCCTCATTCATGTTTATTTTAGTCAGCAAAAGAAAAAAAATAACGACGCTGTTGCTTTCAAAACTCGATGCAAGTAGATAGGTGTTTAGTAGATCAATATGTTAGGTGACTACGGAAAATAATATGTCAAAATAGTTGTGCTATTGATAAATTGGCAACGATCCAGAATTGCTAGCTTGACTTGCTTGCTGATTCTAAGCATAGTTTTCGCTCTGCTTTACCTTGTGAGTATTTCATTCGAAAAGACCTTAGATGTGTGGCTGTCACATTATGTACACGCACACATAAATATAAATATACCATATACATATGTATATATATATATATATATATATATATATATATATATATATATATATATATATATATATATATATATATATATATATATATATATATATATATATATATATATATATATATATATATATATATATATATATATATATATATATATATATATATATATATATATATATATATATATATATATATATATATATATATATATATATATATATATATATATATATATATATATATATATATATATATATATATATATATATATATATATATATATATATATATATATATATATATATATATATATATATATATATATATATATATATATATATATATATATATATATATATATATATATATATATATATATATATATATATATATATATATATATATATATATATATATATATATATATATATATATATATATATATATATATATATATATATATATATATATATATATATATATATATATATATATATATATATATATATATATATATATATATATATATATATATATATATATATATATATATATATATATATATATATATATATATATATATATATATATATATATATATATATATATATATATATATATATATATATATATATATATATATATATATATATATATATATATATATATATATATATATATATATATATATATATATATATATATATATATATATATATATATATATATATATATATATATATATATATATATATATATATATATATATATATATATATATATATATATATATATATATATATATATATATATATATATATATATATATATATATATATATATATATATATATATATATATATATATATATATATATATATATATATATATATATATATATATATATATATATATATATATATATATATATATATATATATATATATATATATATATATATATATATATATATATATATATATATATATATATATATATATATATATATATATATATATATATATATATATATATATATATATATATATATATATATATATATATATATATATATATATATATATATATATATATATATATATATATATATATATATATATATATATATATATATATATATATATATATATATATATATATATATATATATATATATATATATATATATATATATATATATATATATATATATATATATATATATATATATATATATATATATATATATATATATATATATATATATATATATATATATATATATATATATATATATATATATATATATATATATATATATATATATATATATATATATATATATATATATATATATATATATATATATATATATATATATATATATATATATATATATATATATATATATATATATATATATATATATATATATATATATATATATATATATATATATATATATATATATATATATATATATATATATATATATATATATATATATATATATATATATATATATATATATATATATATATATATATATATATATATATATATATATATATATATATATATATATATATATATATATATATATATATATATATATATATATATATATATATATATATATATATATATATATATATATATATATATATATATATATATATATATATATATATATATATATATATATATATATATATATATATATATATATATATATATATATATATATATATATATATATATATATATATATATATATATATATATATATATATATATATATATATATATATATATATATATATATATAGATATAGAAATAAAGTTTATTACAAACGTAATTTTAAACCACGGCAACCCATAGCTTCTTTCTCTTCTTAAATTATAAGTAAAAGGAAGAAACTGTTAACCATTAAGAGAGATTTTAAAAATATATGAAACGCAAAATGTCTCTCCGTGGAAGAGCTTCAGCCGCGCCCCGTTTTCTCCGGGAACACGTTTGCAGGGTATCCTTCGCTATTCCCAGCCCGTCTAGGAGAGGATTTAGTGGCGGCGCTGCCTCAGGAGTGACCACAGGGGATCCATATGGTAGCATTCATGACCACACTCACTCACTCACTCACTCACTCACTCACTCACACTTCCATACACACACACGCATGCAGACATACATATACATATGTGCTAATGTGTTTTTTACAGAGTACTGCCATTTCAACAATAAAAAAATACTTCTTTTTGGATCGTAAGGGGATCAAACCCTCGACATCCGCGTTATTAGCACGGCGCTCTAAGCAACTGAGCTAACAGGCCGTTATAGTTGCAGACGGTGTTTCCAGAAATGAATTTTCTGTCAGTACTTTTCAGTGAAAGGGCTGGTTATTTACTTTGGATACTCTCCCCCTGTCTTTCTTTCCCTCCTCTCTCTTTCTCCCCCACCCTCACTCTGTCTTTCCCTACTACCCCTCCCTCTCTCTGCCTGTTTCTGAGTATCTGTCTTTCAACTCTCAGTCTGCTTGGTCTGTCTGTCTCTCTCGTCCAGCCTCACCTTCTCTCCTGATCTCTGACTATCAGCTGCTCCGCCTTATCAATGTGACTGTCTGTGGTACTCTCTCTCTCTCTTCCTCACTCGCACGCTGTCTCTCTACTTTCTCTCTCTCTCTCTCCCTTCTCTCGTTCTTCTCTTTCTCGGTTCCTTTCTTTCTTTTTCTCTCAGAGAAACCTCATGTAACAAAGCAATAATTTTAACGTACATTTTTTTCATATTCTCTATAGTTAATAGAGAGATAAGTAGGCAGATAGATAAATAGATATATGTAAATATAGAAGCAGATATAAACATTTTCCTCAGCGCCTAGATATTCAGCCTGAATATATTTCAAAATATTAATACGGAAAAGTCTGATTCCTGACACGCCCCTCTCCGGTCGAAGTCACACACACAGGAAAATGGAAAAAAAAAACAACTGCCAGTTCTTGACCATTGCGTCATCGTTTTACTTATCTTACGATTTTACTTCAGTTGTTGAAGCACTAGATGGTGATTTATCAGCCAGTGATACGAAATGATGCAACAGGTTTTATGTATCGAACTGTGCGTAACCAATGACTATAGTAACCGAGTATCGTATGATCGTTGCCTGGTGCAAGACTTTTTTCCTATTAGTCCATATGCAGAAAAGGGGAAAAAGTCACGGCGCTGTTGGTTTCAAAACTGAATGCAATCAGAATGTTAGCTGACTTGAGGGAATGCTAGACACTTCACAAAACCAAAAAATCAGTAAAGATAGTTTCGGTGAAAATGGTCTGAAACGTTCAAGTTAAAAAGTAATTTAATTTCCTTCTTTGGTATGAATATGAACGCCATACCCTATTGCGGCATTTATTGTTACCAGTATTTGCTTGAGCCTCTTGATATTTTAGCTGTGAAGAGTTCAAAGTTATACAATTTGACAGAAACACTCAGAAAATAAGCAGAAGGTGTCGACAACCAACAGATATAAGTAGAGGGTTCAGTGATGACGCATGGCATCCTTTGACGGGGTGACGAATGCTACATCCTTCCCCCCTCCGTCTCTCTCTTCCCCCCCCCCCTCTCTCTCTTTCTCTCCCTCTCTCTCTCTTTCTCTCCCCCCTCTCTCTCTCTCTCTTCCCCCCCCCTCTCTCTCTCTCTTTCCCTCCCTCTTTCTCTCTCTCTCTCCCTCCCTCTCTTCTCCCCTCTTTCCCTCTCTCTCTCTCTTCTCCCCTCTTTCTCTCTCTCTTCCCCCTCTTTCTCTCTTCTCCCCCCCTCTCTCTCTCTCTTTTCCCCCCTCTTTCTCTCTCCCCCCCCCTCTCTCTCTCTCTTCTTCCCTCTCTCTCTCTCTTCCCCCCCTCTCTCCCCCCCCCTCTCTCTCTCACTCACACTTTCTCTCCCCCCTCTCGCGAGACACAAGACGCCTGAAAATGACCCCTGTCATCAAGCTTACGCCTGTTGTGCATTGTTGTCATTTAATGGCCATTTCAGATTTTTAATTGATTTTAATTATTTGCCATTAAACAATGCTCTTATGAGTTTTTTTGAACCATCGTTTTTTCAGGCCTTAAGTGTCCTGTCTCCCCTTAAGAATTCCGTTATGTGAGTGAACCGTTCAGAAAACTTTACTAGGATGCACTCAATTGTTTTGGGGTTTCTATTATCTTTTTCAAATAAAAATTGCTAAAAAAAGAAGAAAAAAGAAAAGAAAAAGAAAATGCAAATCGATAGGACAGGTTGGCAGTACCACAAGACTGAACGTGCAACGGGACAATGCAATACTCATGTCTTTGCATCACATTTTGACATGCAATAAGCAACGTTTCCCCGTCCACACTGGCATGCAACCTTCTCTCGCTTTCCTGTGTTAAAACTTTAGTTTCCTTTATAAAAAACAAAAACAGAAAAGAAATGCTTTTCTCACCTCAAAAGTGACCAAAATGTGACGAAAATAATAAAGAACAAGTACTATTTACCTACTTACAGAATGTGCCGAGGCTTTTGAAATGGTAAATAAGAAACGATTTAGAATTCCTATTGATGTTTGTTTTTTCCTCGAGCGGAAATGTACTCTCTCTGGCAGCCTAGCGCCGCACAGCTCCGTCAGTCTTATTCTGCCTTCTGCCAATAGTTACCATGTGGTTCAGGATCTTGACTTGCTTGCTGATTCTAAGCATAGTTTTCGCTGTGGATCTTCCACAGGTGAGTATTTCACACAAACAGACGTGCATGTGTGCGTATCGTATTATATGCACACACACACATAAACAAATATACATACTTATTTGAAATGCAAGTATATATTATACATACACATAGTGTGTACATATAAATTATTATAATATATAATATAAATATATATACATATACATGTTTCCCGTTGTTGCCGAGGAATTAGACACGTCTTTTTTTAATGTACCAAAAACCTGCCCTGCGTCTCATGCGGCCGAATTGCGGGTAGGAGACCAACGTAAGCTAGGGACCTGGACTAGCATACTGGGCTAGTCTGCAAGGCACGAAAATTGTTGCTAGTTATAGAATATTGGAAGTAATCCAAATTGATATAAGCCGAATTATCACAGTCTTTTATCACGAACTTACGAAATATTGTGTACGATTCGCCGGCATTTATGAGAAACACTTCCTCTCACTTAACTCTTTCCTCAGCATACATAAGCCACACTTGATACATGTCTTACGTTATTTAACGACTGTTACCTCTGAAAAACATTCGTTCATTATCTTAGTGAAAAATGCTCATGGAAATCTGAAATGAATGTTAAACTCGTCCGCCTGTAAGCCATTTGCCATGAGTGGATTTCAACAAAACTACAACGCTGCAATGGAATAATGTCACCATATTGTATTGCATGCGAAAAATCCAATTTTTTGCTGACAATACTTTTGGGTATAATTAAATAAATGTATAATGAAATACTAAGATTTTTTTTTTTAATAAATGTCTTTGTAAAATTCGGTGTGTCGTATACATTGGTGCGTCTTAAACGCCGGCAAATACGGTATATATATATATTTACACATATTCATATATGTACATATATATGCACATACATATACATATATATACATGTATATATGTATATGTCCACACACACAAATGTATATATACATCTACATCTACACATATAAATATGTATATGCATATAAATATATTCACACACACGTGTATATATATATATGTGTGTGTGGATGTGTGTATATAAGCACCTTCCATCTTCTCGTAGGTTACCATCCTCTCACCAGCATCTTCTTCTCATGTCTTGGAGTGCAGCCAGAAATGCGCCAGGAAACTCATAGATGGAAGTTGCAGGATCAATTGGTTTTGCAAGTTCTTAGAAAACTTACAGTGGTAAGTGTTTTAAGCTCTCGTTTAACATTTCCGTCAGGTTTTTTTTTTTTTCAGTTGATTTAATATACAATTGCAAAAAACTTCCACGCAACGTGCTTTTTACCTACCACATAATCAATTTTTTTCTCTCTCTTTCATTACATCACAGAATCGTCGCCAGAGAACCAAACCACGGTATCTGCACTTGCTGCATGATGAAATAAATAAAGATTAAGCAAACTGTCTCTGCTGGTTTTAATTTTCACTCGAGGTTTATTTGCTGATTACCCTGGCTATTTATAGGGCGAGGGGGGGGGGTCGGTAGAAGGGAAAAAAAGAGGACGAGGAGAGGGAGAAAGAGGAAAAAGGAAACCTGTGTGAGGCGTACAAACAAACACACACACACGCGCATACAGGTTAAACGACAATAATTTCTTTTACCTGTTGTCTTCATTCTATTTATTTATTTATTATTACATTTTGTTACTGATTTACATCTCTGGTCGAAATCACAAAGCAAAATGGAAAACCCCAAGTTGCCAGTTCTAGGCCATTGCGTCATTATTAAAGAGGCATCTGTAGATAAATGCCAATTTATTTACAATTTTATTTCAGTTGCTGAAGTATTAGAGAATTATTTGTCACCCATTGATACGAAATGCTGCAACAGGTTTTACGTATCGAATTGTGCGTAACCAATGACTATAATAACCGAGTATGATCGTTGTGTGGTGCAAGTGTCGTTTCTTTCCTATTAGTCCATGTGCGCAGTTGTCTGCGGTTTCGTACAGCCTTATTCATGCTTATTTAAGTTAACAAAAGGAAAAAAAAAACAAAAAAACACGACGCTGTTGCTTTCAAAACTCAATGCAAGTAGGTAGGTGCTCAGTAGATCAATATGTTAGCTGACCACAGAAAATAATGTCAAAATAGTTGTGCTATTGATAAATTGGCAACGATCCAGAATTGCTAGCTTGACTTGCTTGCTGATTCTAAGCATAGTTTTCGCTCTGCTTTCCCTGTGAGTATTTCATTCAAAAATACTTTAGATGTGTGGCTGTCACATTATATACACGCACACATACTTGTATAAATATACCACATACATATGTATATATATATATATATACATATAGTATGTACATATAATATATTTGTGTGTATTTGCCGGCGCATTAGACGCGCGTTTTTTTATGTATTAACTAGGGAACCAGACGAGCACACTGGGTAAGTTTGGATTGTTGTCATTTAATAGCCATTTCAGATCTTTAATTGATTTTAATTATCTGCCATTAAACAATGCTCTTATGAGTTTTTTGAAAGATCGTTTTTTTCATGCCTTAAGTGTCCTGTCTCCCCATGAGAATAACGTTATGTGAGTGAACTGTTCAGAAAACTTAACTAGGATGCATTCTATTGTTTTGGGGTTTCTATTGTCTTATTCAAATGGATCGAAAATTGTAAAAAAAAAAAAAAAAAAAAAAAAAACCGCATATCGAAAACCTATTTTCAGTCAGGATAGGTTGGCAGTACCACAAGACTGAACGTGCAACGGGACAATGCAATACTCATGTCTTTGCATCACATTTTGACATACAATAAGCAACGTTTCCCCGTCCACACTGGCATACAACGATGATACAAGCAGTGAATATGCAACAAATGTATATGCGCCTTTAGGTTAAGCATCCTACCGTCTCTCGCTTTCCTGTGTTAAAAGTTGCCACTACAACTTTAGTTTCCTTTATAAAAACAAAAACAGTTCTCTAAGAAATGCTTTTCTCACCTCAAAAGTGACCAGAATGTGACGAAAATAGTAAAGAACAAGTACTATTTACCTGCTTACAGAATGTGTCGAGGCTTTCGAAATGGTAAATAAAAAACGATTTAGAATTCTTAATGATGTTTGTTTTTTCCTCGACCGGAAATGTACTCTCTCTGGCAGCCTAGCGCCGCACAGCTCCGTCAGTCTTATTCTGCCTTCTGCCAATAGTTACCATGTGGTTCAGGATCTTGACTTGCTTGCTGATTCTAAGCATAGTTTCCGCTGTGGATATTCAACATGTGAGTATTGCACACAGACAGACGTGCATGTGTGCGTGTCATATATGTACACACACACAAACAGACATACGCACATACATAAACAAATATACATACAAATTATATGTATATATATATATATATTATACATACACATAGTGTGTACATATAAAAAATGATTATATATAATAAATGTTTTTGTAAAATTCGTGTGTCGTATGCATTTGTGCGTCTTAAACGCCGGCAAATACGGTATGTATATATATATTTACACATTCATATGTACATATATATGCACATACATATACATATATATACACGTATATATGTATATGTCCACACACACAAATGTATATATACATATACATCTACACTCATAAATATGTATATGCATATATATATTCACACACACGTGTATATATATGTGTGTGTGGGTGTGTGTATATAAGCACCTTCCATCTTCTCTCGCAGCTTAGGATCCTCTCACCATTATCTTCTTCACATGTCTTGGATTGCAGCCAGAAATGCGCCAGGAAACTCATAGATGGAAGTTGCAGGATCAATTGGTTTTGCAAGTTCTTAGAAAACTTACAGTGGTAAGTGTTTTAAGTTCTCGTTTAACATTTACGTCAGTTTGTTTGTTTTTCAGTTGATTTAATATGTAGTTGCAGAAAACTTCCACGCAACGTGCTTTTTACCTGTCACATAATCAAACTTTTTTCTCTTTCATCACATCACAGAATCGTCGAATCACGCAACGGTTTTTACCTGTCACATAATCAAACTTTTTTCTCTTTCATCACATCACAGAATCGTCGCTAGAGAACCAAACCACGGTGTCTGCACTTGCTGTACGATGAAACAAATAAAGATTAAGCAAACTGTCTCTGCTGGTATATACATATTCATATATGTATATATATATGCACATACATAAACATATATATACATGTATATATGTATATGTCCACACACACAAATGTGTATATACATATACATCTACACACATAAATATTTATATGCATATATATATTCACACACACACGTGTATAGATATATGTGTGTATGTGGGTGTGTGTATATAAGCATCTTCCATCTTCTCTCGCAGCTTAGGATCTCTTCTCCAGATGTCTTGGATTGCAGCCACAAATGCGCCAGGAAACTCATGGATGGAAGTTGCAGGATCAATTGGTTGTGCAAGTTCTTCGAAGAAAACTTACAGTGGTAAGTGTTTTAAGTTCTCGTTTAACATTTCCGTCAGTTTTTTTTTTTCAGTTGATTTAATATACAATTGCAAAAAACTTCCACGCAACGTGCTTTTTACCTGTCACATAATCAAACTTTTTTTCTCTTTCATCACATCACAGAATCGTCGCTAGAAAACCAAACCACGGTGTCTGCACTTGCTGTACGATGAAACAAATAAAGATTAAGCAAACTGTCTCTGCTGGTTTTAATTTTCACTCGTTTATTTGCTGATTATCCTGGCTATTTATAGGGCGAGGGGGGAAGGGGGGATCGAGAAAAAAGAGGACGAGGAGAGGGAGAAAGAGGAAAAAGGAACCTGTGTGAGGCGTACAAACAAACAAACACACACACACACACGCATACAGATTAAACGACAATTATTTTCTTTTAACTGTTGTCATTTATTTCATTTCTTAAAATTTATTATTACTTTTTGTTAGTGATTTACATCAATATGGAATTACATTAAGACGAAAAAAAGATCAGATATTCCAAAAAGCATCGAGGACAGAAAATTATAAAATATTATTACGCCGCACTTAACTTGTTTTACATATACCATCACTTAATAATAAATGCCCATAACATAGGCGTAAAACAGATCAGTATTAGCCAGCACTTTATGGCTAACACTCACAGAAAGGCTGATGTGTTTTGTGATGTAGATACTGTCTCTTTCCCTGTCCCAACAAGGAAGCTATACATAATTGGTGACTGTGACTACTTGCGAGATAAAACACGTGACAGATTGCATTCTTTGTTCATCAGATCAGTAGAGGACAGTACAGGAAGTGATAGAATGTAAACAATAATTAAATCGATAACGATAATGATAATAATAATATCAGTAACAATAACAATCATGATGATATAGTTATCAGTTATCTTCATTACTACTATAAGGATGATGATAATGATTATACAAAAATATAATAATGATAATAATAAAATAATAGTGACAATAATAATGATAATAGTATTAAAAATCATATTTATACAAAAATAATCACTGTAATTATGATAATATAATCATCATAATCATAATAAAAATATCAATAACATAGAATAATGGTAATAATAATGATAATGGTAATAAAACAACAATAATAATATTGTACAAAAAGTATGAATGAGAACGACTATTTTCACGGGGCAAAAGATGTATTTGACAGGGAGGTAGTTTAGTAGGTAGGTAGGTACATGCACGACTAGACACTTACATAGGTACGTAGGTAAGTAGCAAGGTAGATTAATTGAGATATAAGTGGATAGACAGATAAATTGATATACAAATATATGAACAGATAAAAATATTTTCCCCAATGCCTAAATAGCCAGCCTGAATAGCAGAATATTAAAACGGAAAAGTTTGATCCTGACACGCCCCTCTCTGGTCGAAACCACAAAGTAAAAGGGAAAACCCCAAGTTGTCAGTTCTAAGCCATTGCGTCATTATGAAAGAGACATCTGTATATAAATGCCAATTTATTTACAATTTTATTTCAGTTGCTGAAGTATTAGAGAATTATTTGTCACCCATTGATACGGAATGCTGCAACAGGTTTTACGTATCGAATTGTGCGTAACCAATGACTACAATAACCGAGTATGATCGTTGTGTGGTGCAAGTGTCGTTTCTTTCCTATTAGTCCATATGCGCAGTTGTTTTCGGCTTCGTACAGCCTCATTCATGTTTATTTTAGTCAGCAAAAGAAAAAAAATAACGACGCTGTTGCTTTCAAAACTCGATGCAAGTAGATAGGTGTTCAGTAGATCAATATGTTAGTTGACTACAGGAAAATAATATGTCAAAATAGTTGTGCTATTGATAAATTGGCAACGATCCAGAATTGCTAGCTTGACTTGCTTGCTGATTCTAAGCATAGTTTTCGCTCTGCTTTACCTTGTGAGTATTTCATTCGAAAAGACTTTAGATGTGTGGCTGTCACATTATGTACACGCACACATAAATATAAATATACCATATACATATGTATGTATGTATATATATATATATTATATACAAATAGTATGTACGTATAATATATGTGTGTGTATTTGCCGACGCATTAGACGCGCGTGTTTTTCTATGCATTAACTATGTCGTAGACACTCGAAGGCTAAGTCATCATCACGCGACAACACGAGGGCGAAGCGGATGCTACATGAACGGGTGAAACAACAAGCTGGGATGAGACGCCAAAAATAGAATAACATCGCGAAGATTCGAAGTGGTCAAGAGGACAAGACACAGATGCAAATAACAGAAGCGCCCTATGACTCAAAGTGGCGAGATCATCATATGACAGGGTGACACCACGTGATGGACCAACAGAAGCAAAAAAAAGAAAAAGAAATTACGAGTGCGAAACAACAAGCAATAAAGATCATAGTGAATCAGTTTGGGAACAAGAAATGAACTCGGGTGGCAAGTAGAAAATGTTAGAAGTGGTAAAAAGAGTGTTAAAAATGTGCTGGGATACAGAAAAGTCCTGATTCGGGTATCTTTCCAATTTTAAGAAATAATTAAGTGATAACCAGCAAGGGCGTGACCGGATGAGCTCCACATCGAAAATAAAAGGACGCTTTGTGTCGGAGAATGTGGATTAGGTTTCGGAGTAGCGTCCAGTAGCCATGTTCATCTCGGAAAGCCCGTTTGAAGTATTTTAGTGTACCCTCGTGATGGAACAGAGTGGATAGGAATTAGAAATGGAAGACAGTAACAAGGGAGTGCTATTCTGGAACATATTTAGGATTAGGAAGAAAATAAAGATTTTTATGAACATGTAATGAAACAACTTGATTTTTAAATTTAACTAATGTTGTGGCAATATTGTGTTAATAGTTAATGGTTAAATCAAATAAATGTACTAGATATCAAGGTCATATATAAATACTGTGTTAGATATAACTTCTATATTAACAGTTAATGGGAATAGATAGGTTAGTTTATAAGTGTAATTAAAAAATCAAATGCTTTCTAAGATTGATAGCTCAGCGGAAGTGTGTAGACAGTGACGAGTCCTGTTATTTTCCGACGGAGCGTAAGATTGATTTTTTGTCTATCAAGTATTTGCTTTTGACATGATAATTACTTTTACTTGCTTGAAGTTTGATTCATATATTCACATAGAAATATAACTTAATTTGAGTTTGTTATAATTAACTATTTGCTTTTCTTATAATATTTTTTCTCTTAGTATAATATCAAATTCACTGATCATGTTTACAATAACTATTTGCTTGTCTAATGTTCATGATTATTTTGTGTAATATCTAATCCATCTATTAGCCTTGAGACATGGAATAGTTAATCACTCTTATAGTGATGTTTTGTTTTATGATATTTAATTCATGAAGATATAACGTAATTTTGAATATTGTTGGTTCTGTTTTCATCAAGTTTCATGATTGATAATTATACAATTGTGTCATAACTGTCTATTTGTATTTAAAGAGTTCAGAACTCAAATATAATCTATTTTTTGTTTCACGTAAAGTTTGATATTGTAATTTTATTATATTGCATTGATAATATTCAGTAAATAAATGTATTGATTTCTTTTACGAAGATTTAACTCAAACCTTGAATTACACTAAATAATAATATTAATATTGTCACTTTGAAATTATTGGTTAATTATTTAAAGTTACACTATAATTAATGAGTATATTTAAACATTTATTGATCTAACGGAATAAGTCCTGATACTGAAGAGCATTTAATAAAATGTTGTGGAATAGAGGGTCACAACAGCTAGGGAACCGGACGAGCACACTGGGTAAGTTTGCTTGGCACAAAAAAAATGTTGCTAATAATGCAATATTGAAAATAACCCAAATTATTACAGTAAAATGTGTTACTAATAACAAAGTAATGAAAGCAAGCTAAAATATCAGTTTATCACAAATTTACCAAAAATTGCGTACGATACGCTGGCACTTATGAAAGTTCACATTATCTCACGTACCACGTTCCTCAGCATTCACAACCCACACCTGATACATGCCTTGCAGTATTTTACGACTATGCTATGTTACCTTTAAGAAACATTTGTTTATTATCTAAATGAAATCTGAAAGGAATGTTAATTTTTCATTTGCCTGCAAGCCATTTGCAATGAGTGGTTGTCAGCAAAACCATAACGCGACAATGGTATACTATCACGATATTGCATTTCATGCAAAAAAAATTATGCATTTTTCACTAAAACGCTACTTTTAAGCATCATTGAATAAATGTATGATGAAGCATAGTAAATTCCACTAAATATTCTTGTAAAATTGGGATGCGTCTTATGCATGGATACGTATTATACGCCGGCAAATACGGTATGTATGTATGTATATATATATATATATATATATATATATATATATATATATATATATATATATATATATATGTTCATATATTTATATACATATACATATACATATACATACACACACACACACACACACACACACACACACACACACACACACACATATATATATATATACACACACATATGCACACATTTATATGCACACGGACATGCCCATATTATATGTTTATATATCACCACGTGTGTGTATACATATATACATATAAATAAAATAGCTAATGGTTAAAGCAAATGTGCTAGATATCAAAGGTCATATAACACTTTACCCTTTTGTTGCGAAAATTGCAAAAATGAGTTAACGATTAGGATAAGTAGACAGAAAGGGGTGATGAAGAAAAGAAGGAAAAAAGAAGGAGGGGGGGAGAAACGGCCATGGGTGGGTGGGGGGGGATCCAACAGTGGGTCCCTGTCTCCGTCTCTTAAGCTCCTCCCCCCCCCCACGACAGCAACGAGCAATGGATTGGATGTATATATTTATAGCCATCTTCCATCTTCTCTCGCAGGCTATGATCATTCATCATTTCCCAACCAGGCATCTGTAACAAGCTACAACCAGAAACACAGACGTCCATACAGTACAGTTAGAAATCAAACAGGTACACCAAAATACACACGAACTAATGAGGAAGTTTTACATTAAAAGATAATCATTTATTTCACCTGTTTTTCTTTCTTTTTTTTTTCCTTTCAACCAATCTCTATCAATATGGAATTACATTAATCGAGAAATACTGGAAAAAAAATAACATCATATAGTCCATACAGCATCGAGGACACAAATTCATCAACTACCAGAACTTAACT